GCTCTCCCTCTGTCCCCTCCCCTTCCCTTTCCCCCTCCCCTCTCCCCCTTCCCCTCCCCTCTCCTTCCCCAACTGCCTCTCCCTCTCCTCCTCCCTCAGACCCACCTTTCCTCCTCTGCACCTCTCCTGGTCTGCACACCTTGCTGTTCCTGCCAGACTCCTTCAACTGTCCTTCGAGCCCAATCTGAATGTTTTCCCTACTTTATCTGTCTCCGAGTGCAACCAGGCTCTGCCTGGAAACAGTGAAACAGGAGAGGTGTGCATTTGATTCAGCAAGCTGCCCAGGTATTTGGGGCAGAGTCCATGCCCAGCTTTGTCCTGGGCTATTTAAAGAAAGAAAGTGACTATGAATAACTTGATGGACAGCTGTGTTGTCTGACCCGTGTCAGGACAGCAGATACACTCCCGCCAGCCCGTGCACTGTGAGGTGTCACTTAGCGCGTCCCTCCCTGTTGCGCTTCTGGTCTTCCCTCCAGAGAGGCGGCCGGGGAGGGTGCTCTGCGCTGGGTTAGCATGGCGCGGACGTGCAGGTGGCCTCCCCGCCAGGAGCACACCTGCGTCCCATTCTCCACCTCCATTCCCAGGCAGAAAAGCTTCTCACAAGTGGGCTGTTATCGATCTCTCCATCTGTGGGGCTGGAACAGGACTTAGCAGCCAGTGACTTGTGGAGAGACCCCGGGTCCTCGCGGAGGTGGGCTGGGCGATGGGCAGAAGCCAGGGTGGGGTCGCAAGGGCTGCGTGTGAGGGTTCCAGGCACCCAGCGGTACTGCTTGGATTTGATTTCTGAGAATTACATCCTGCCCTGTGCCTGTTGGTGGCTCAACTAGCTGAATGCCTGCTGGAACGTACCAGAGGAATGGCAGTTGCAGCCACAGCCTCCTGGAACAGTCCTTGTAAGGACCAGGGTTGTCCCTTTCTGTTTTGGCTGTCACCCCCTTCTGTTGACCTTGAGTGATAACAATATTGCTTTGCATTTACTGGGGCGAGAGGCTGAGGCAGGAGATAGACAGCAAGTTCAAGCCCAGCCTGGGCTACTTAGGGAGAAGAAGAGGGAGGGGCTGTGGTGCAGCTCCCTGTGAAAGCCCCAGTTCTGTTCACTGCCCATGCCACCAAAATCAAAAACAATTGCTTTGCGTCTGATCTGACAGCAGAGGCCAGTGCAGAAGGGACCCACCTAGCCGAGATGGGACTAGAGCCAAAGCTCTAGGGGCGCTGGGGGTTGCCTCCGCTGGGCACCGCAGAAAAGCCGCCGGAGGCCTTGGGACTTGGTATCTCCGAGGAGACCTGTCAGGAGTAATGCTTCTGAAGCGGACAGAGCGATGGCACAGAGGGGACTGCGGCCTGGGGCCTGGGGACTGCGGCCTGGGGCCTGGGGACTGCGGCCTGGGG